TATCTATCTATCTATCTATCTATCTATCTATCTATCTATCTATCTATCTACCTATCTACCTATCTAATCTATTTATTTATTTAGATTTGCCAATCACTTACAAGATAATAGGTATAAGTATATACATAGTTATGAATACATGAAATGGGTACATATAAGACAAATAAAAGAAACAATAGGACAGGGACGGTAGGCACTTTGGTGCGCTTATGCACGCCCCTTACAGACCTCTTAGGAAAGGGGTGAGGTCTAGTAGACAGTCTAAGGTTAAAGTTTTTGGGGTTTGGGGAAGAAACCACAGAGTCAGGTAGAGTATTCCAAACACTGACTACTGGGACTGCCTGGGGAGGCAAAAAATTTGTGATCCCAAATGCAAAAACGGATGCCAGGACGAGATTCGGGGTAGAATTCCATACTTAAAAATGGTATTGCTTGCTGTTTTTAAAAATCAAGTTTTTTCGTTCCTGAAGAAGAAAACGCGTGATGCCAGGGTCAGAAAAACTGGTGCCTGGGGAGGCAAAATTTTTTTGATCCCAAATGCAAAAACGGATGCCAGAATGAGATTCGGGGTAAAATTCCATACTTAAAAATGGTATTGATTGCAGTCTTTAAAAATCAAGTTTTTTCGTGCCTGAAGAAGAAAACGCGTGATGCCGGGGTCAGAAAAACTGGTGCCTGGGGAGGCAATTTTTTTTTTATCCCAAATACAAAAATGGATGCCGGGATGAGATTAGGGGTAGAATTCTATACTTAAAAATCAAGCTTTTTGGTACTGGTGCCTGGGGAGGCAAAATTATTGTGATCCCAAATGCAAAAACGGATGCCAGGACGAGATTCGGGGTAAAATTCCATACTTAAAAATGGTATTGCTTGCTGTTTTTAAAAATCAAGCTTTTTGGTGCCTGAAGAAGAAAATGCGGGATGCGAGGGTCAGAAAAACTGGTGCCTGGGGAGGCAAAAAAAATTTTGGTGCCTGAAAAAGAAAATGCGTGATGCCGGGGTCAGAAAAAGTAGTGCCTGGGGAGGCAAATTTTTTTTGATCCCAAATGCAAAAACCGATGCCGGGACGAGATTCGGGGAAGAATTCCATACTTAAAAACTGTATTGCTTGCTGTTTTCAAAAATCAAGTTTTTTGGTGCCTGAAGAAGAAAACGCGTGATGCCGGGATCAGAAAAAGTGCTGCCTGGGCAAGCAAATTTTTTTTGATCCCAAATTCAAAAATGGATGCCGGGACGAGATTCGTGGTACAATTCCATACTTAAAAATGGTATTGCTTGCTGTTTTTAAAAATCAAGCTTTTTGGTGC